GTGAAGCATCCATTCCCCGGGCCTCAGCCCCTGCCTCGACAGGATGTCTGCTTCCATATTGAGATGCCCAGGAATGTGCACTGCTCTCAGCGAGAGGAGTTTGTCCTGGGACCACACAAGGATCTGGTGTGCTAACTTGAACAAGCGGCGCAAACACAGACCTCCCTGGTGGTTGGTGTAAGCGACCACCGCTGTGTTGTCGGTGCAGACCAACACATGGTGACCTCTCAGGTCTGGGAGAAAGTGTTTCAGTGCCTGAAACACGGCCAGTATCTCTAGGCAATTGATGTGCCACGTTAGCTGGCGACCGGACAGATAGCTAGCTAGCGTCTGTTCAACCCAGGGCATCGCCTTATAGCCACACTCAGTCAGCCCTGCCACATTACCATAATAATCTGAGGCAGGGATGAAGAGGTGGGCTAAAAAAGGCCTGGCCCAAGACCTCGATACCTCGGGGGAAAATGGCAGGCTCCGGCATGGAGGTGGCAGCTTCGCGCGCAGGAAGTGTTCATCCAACCTGCTTCGCTGCGGTTCGGCCTGCTTCTCGGCGGGCCAATCGATTTTTAATTTGGCCACGACACGAGTAAGCACCTCCACTAGCTCCTCATATTGGGGCGATTGAGGGGGCGAAACCTCTTCGACGTCCTCCACGTCAACCTCCTCGGAGGAAGACAGGAGGAGCGTCGAGCCGTCACCCCGGGAGGAAGTAGCCGCAGAACGGGCTTCCGAACCCAGAGATCGGCCACAGGAAATATCTGGAATCAATCATGGATGTGTTAATCTTGTCACGTTGCTTCTTCCTGCTTTTGTTTGCCTGAATTTAAAACCGAGACCAAAGGTATTATCTTAGCTTGTTCACGTTTTATAATTGATCTGATATAATTTGCAGCTGCGAGCATCAGACAAATATTCGAGTTATGCAGGGCCAGATAGGTGAAACACACAGAGGTTACTAGAGTTCATTTCTCCCAGCAGCAGAAGCGAGCGGAGGACCACGCCCTTTGCTCCACAAACCACGCCCGATTTCTCAACTCTGCGTTCTGATTTGTTGGGCGCGAGTAACGGGGAGTTAATTTCCGGTATGCGGAGGCTGGAATTTCAGGTTTTTCTCTTGTGGCTTTCGGGGTAGCGGTAACGTGCGTCCCCCTGATCACCGACTCATTTCCATCTTTTTGTCTTCATGCGTTTGATTGTATGTGTTTAGTCTTAGATAAGTATGACTGAAAGCGCGGGGAATAAAAATGAGGATTGTCATGCAGCGAATGGGGTGAAACCAGGAAGAAATGGCATGGTGAAGAACCATCATCACCATCATCAGTATCAAAAGCAGGAGAAGGTGAGGCCACATCATGCATTGAGATCTTTTGAGTCCTGCATTGCTAATATTTCATACCTGCTTGTGCAATATGTTGTACGATGAAAATGGTGATGTATGGCAACACACAGCAGCTGTTCTCAATACTGTGTGTGCCAGGATTGTGCTCCGTTAGTGCATGGCATGCAGTTTCGCTGTTTATGGCATGGTCACATGTGGAAAAGTAAAGTTTGACACCCATATGAGATGTAGACTTTCTCCTGATAATATCGTTTTATGAGCCCTGGCCATCAAAAGTATGATGTGGCTAATGGGATATTTCCATAAATAAAAACTCGTCTGAATAAACTGTGTTTGTTGAACCAGAAAGTTAATGTGCAACCTCGTGCTGCATTTGCGTTCATGTAAGTAAAAATGCATTGAAAACGGCAAATCAAGATACTAGTGTCTCAACATTAACAACTTTTTTTTTTTTTTTTTTTTTTTCAAGGACTTTTAAATATTGACCAACTCTGAGAAATTGGATAAAAATTAACTGGACAAAAAGTGCCAGCCCTGTTCTCCGTAATATAGTTATACTCCCTAATATAGATTTATATTTATATATATTTATATGTTTTAGGACAACTTTTGATCCGCTTCAAATGTTGACTAGTGTGCATTATAATTTATAATCTGTATGTAGTTGATGTGAATATTTTCATTAATACTCATTTATATACGGAAAGGTATATTAGTATATTTTATTTAAAGTTATAGAAAATAGAACTATAGATTGATCAAAAAAGCCCTATATAGGTAATACAATTCTACTTTTAGCCAATATTTGATTAGTCTTTATATTATAATAATGTGGGTTTTAGTAACACCTTATAATTTTAATCTGTATTGAATTTTTTAGTAATATTCAAGCATTATTATTATTAATGGATCAATGGATCGTATATCTAAATAGGCAAATGCACTGAGGAAGTCAAGATCTTGATCTCATACCAGTGTCTTGTGCGGGTGATTGTAAGCAACTCATGATTCAAGTTAAAGCTCTAGGAATTTCTGTCATGTGCCTCCTGTACTGCAAGTGTTTTGAGTGGGAAATCGGTCAGCTTCATCTATCCCAAGATATTCTGTGCTTTGTTATTGTCACAGCTTCTTTGTTCATCCAACTAAACTGTCTTGTAGAGCCCTATCAGCTCTTTCGGCTTCTGCTCAGATTCACTTTCCGTTGTAATGTTCAGCAACAGCTCAGTGTTGCTAGACTCCGTGGTATTTGTTAGTGAAGCATGACTAGTCACATGTGCCTGCAAATCACAGGGTTTTGAATGAACTGCTTCATCTGTTTGGTCCGAAACTTGTGCGTGATCCTTTGGTCACCATGTGTAATGGCAATGAGAGGCCAAACTTTGAAACTGTTCAAGTTAATCTGACTTTTGCAGAGTGTCCATGAATAAAGCTCGCCACTGGTTCTGTACTAAACTGTTAAAGTAACCAAAAGGAATCTGTTATTTCTGCAAATGTTTGAATTTTACATGCTTTGTAATCCGTAACCACAATGCGATGGTACCATGACTACAGTGTTTTAATGGGTATTGCTTTACAGGTTTGCCATGCTGCATGCAATGGAGAACTTTACAGCAGGCCGTTCATCGAGTCCTTTGAGGAAACTCCCATGCTGCTTGCCGTGCTCACGTACATGAGCTACGGCATCCTCACGATCTTTGGATATCTGCGGGATTTCATGAGGGAGTGGAAAATAGAAAAATGCCACACAGCCAGAGAAAGGGAGGAGCAGAAGGTAAACATTGTCATGTGTGCATAGTGGAAAAAAAGCAAACATATACACTACAGTTCAAAAGTGTAGGGGGGGGGGGGGGGGTAAA